AAATTTTCCAGCTTCACTGCGGCTGATCTAGGTCAACCCTTTCTCTTAGTAAATCAGAGAACAAACATCTGGAGACCAACCTGTTCCAAATTTCACCAAGTGAACTGGTACTAACCAAACACTTCCACTTTGGAAGTGGCTTCCAAACACTCAGTGCCAACCCATGGGGGGTGGGGGCGGGGGGGAGAAGAAAGAAAAAGTAGTGAAACCATGAATTCAAACATATCCACTTTGAAGAACTATCTTCTTTTCATGATGAAATGTTCATTCTTTTATGTGATTGTCAGAGGCATTCTTTTTGTTAAACTTGCCCCCATTCCAATGTATTTGCTTAATAAAATAAAAATTGAGCAACCTTATATTGGTTCCCTCAATTAAAAAAATAACTACATGCAAAAATCTGAGAATTAATACGCCAGAGTGATTCAAGATAGTGTTCTTTGCTTTAGGCATTTTTTCCTGAGTTATTTTGTATGGCTGTTTTTTGTTGTTGTTGTTGTTGTTGTTGGAGAAAGGATCTTCCTCAGCCATTTTTTTTCACCTTCTAAAGAATACCTTCCTTTTTTACTTAGCTCACAATTACGAAACCATCTTCTTTACATTTCAAATAATTGCGCTATCCAAAAAAAACAACAAGTTGCATTTATGAGTATCAATCTTTCTATAAATAAGATTAACTACTAAGAAAGCTTTTTTTTTTTTAAATCTTCCTGATATAACTCATCTTCCTTATTGTGCTAGCTTTCCACTTTGTGATCACTCACACCTCAATTATAAGATCTATTTCCCTGGCCTGTTTGAATGAAGTGTTTGACAAAGCAGGATATGCACGCACACATGCCCCAAACCACGTAAAGGAGAGATGCAAGAGTTAATGGCAATTTATTAGTAGCTCAACTACTTCTGCCTTTTCTAGCACAGCAGCACAATCTACTACTACGCTGGTCCTGCGGCCCCTTGTTTTTCTGTAAAGCATTTTATTCAGTAGCTTGAAAATAATGAACTACAAAGTAATGCTCCATGTGAGAGTAATTCATTTTAGAATGTGTTGGTTATTATGATTAGTGGTGGGGCCCTGGCATTCTGTAGACTAATGTTAATACAGTAACATTTGGGTAGCACCTTTTGTGATTTTTCAAGGTGGTGCACTTGTTTGTTAATGCATCCCATGTCCAAGCGTTGCAGTAGGCCAGCATTGGTGACAGTACCACTTTGTCAGACTGGAAAGATGGTCTCAGACTCAATAAGGAAACACTTTATCAAAGGGAATAAAAAATGGAAATGAGCCACTACCTGTGGACTAAGATTAAATTAGCTTCGAGAATTGAGGAGAAGCAGCTACTCTTGCTATTCCTTCCAATGCAGCATTCGTGAGCCTGTACATCTCGAGCTACATTCATTCAACAAATATTTGGTACCTACGATATCTAATGTATTAAGTGCTTATTCTGATTATTTTAAGATAGACAAAGAGGAATGCACTTCTATCTGTGTCTTCAAAAAGCTGAGGAAACCAGCCGACTCGTGTACAGAATTATCTGTAATAGAGGGAAGCAGTGATATGTGCTGTTGGAGAGGTAGAGATAAAATGTGCCAACATTTCAGAGGGGGAAATTGCTGTTGTAACTGAAGAACCAGGAGGGTATTCATGAAGGAAATGGAAGTGGAGCAGAACCTTGAGGAGTGGTTAGGATTTGAACATATGGAACCAGGTTGAAGTAGTTCCAGAAAGAGAACTACACAAGCCAGCACCATGAGACAGAAATTCTGGGATATGTACTGCAAAAAGGAGTCTGGCTTGAATTGGAGGATCCCTGAAGGGGAGTAGTGGGTAGAAACATGTTGGATCACAGTAAAGTGAGACTAAAGATTTGGGGCTTTACTCTACAGGCATGAGTAAGATTTTGAGGTTTTGTAAATATAGGAATACCTGTTCATAACAGTAATTCAAAACAATTCATCCGGAGACTATGCATCCATTGGATTGAGGAGGGCAGTACCCTGGGCTTCAGAGAATGGATGGAAGTCATTGGTGGAGCCCTTGAGAATGCATTAAGAAGAACTGCCACAACGTCTATGGAAATGGTCATCGGATAATGGGTAGAAGTGTCCAGAGCACAGTATGGAATAAGTGTTGACAGCTCATCGAACATAAGGGAAAGGGACATGGAGAGGAGTCAAAGGACTCTGATGTTTTAAGAAAAAAAGGAAAAAAAAAAAAAAAGAATGGGCCTGATTGATAAACAAGGAGCCCAGTTTGAGTCACCTTGAATTTGAAGTGCTGACAAGAATCAAAGACTAAGACACTCCCAAAACAATTTGCAATGCACATCAGGAATTAAGATAAAAAGAAAGCCAGAGCTAGAATTTTACTTACTGGGGAACAATATGAACAGGGATAATAGTTGAAGTATCTTTGTTTTGAGGGAAGTTCACCAGCAGGCACGAGAAGAACAGTACACAGAAGAGAAGAGGGCCAGGAATAGAACCCTGGAGAACACTCCCCACTTAGAAGGTAGAAGAAGGGGGAAGCTTCCCTTCTCCCCAGAAAAAATCCTCAGAAGGAGTAATCGGAGGCAGCGGAGGTGAAAGAGCCAGGGGCTAGGGGTGGGATAGGTAGCATCAGAAAGGCTGGGCCAGTCTGGCAGAAGCCATTTTTTTTTTCTTGCACACTGGACATTTTGCCTTTAAAAGAAGGAAAGATCACTTAAATATAGATAAAATGTGTGCTTCCAGAACAGAGTTCTTTAAATCTTGACTAAAGAGTTTCCTGATATAACTCACTTCCACCATTCCTTGCCATAATGCTTCTAATTCCCCAGCAGAGCATGTAAATCGTGGCCTGCTGCCCACTACCCTGGGAAGAGCCCTTTCTCACAGACATACGGATGTTTTTTCCAGGATTCTGCCACAAGCCTGAAGATACATTAGTAGTTTTGACATTGCTTTCCCCCAGTAAGCTGCAGGTCCACCAAACACTGCTTCTTTCTGCATCTGGACCATCTGCTACAGACCAGGGGGTTCTTAACCTGAGGCCAGTAAATATCCTGGCCAGTGAAAGTAATGTTCTGTTAGCCATATGCATGCATTTTCTGAAGAGATTGTTTACCCTTCTCCTGATTCTTAAAAGAATCTCTTTTCTTAAAAAAGAGAAGAACCACTATAATAGATTACATGTTCTTGTACAATGCCGTGAGTTTCTTGAGGACAAGATCCCGTGCTTGTACATTTGAGTATCTTCATGGTACCTCTTTCAATCTTGGCTGAATGAATGGCATTTAATAGTGCTACATTAGATGAGCCAACAGGAAGAATAAAATACTCATTTTGGCTCTAGAGCCTTTTCCCTGACAGCAAATATACAAACCTAGGAAACATACTCTCTAATGACAATGTTTTTTATTAGTACGTTTGTAGCTTAAAATGAATGCTTCAAACAGGCACTATTTCATTTACATCTTCAATAATTGTGTGGAGTTGGGCTCCCTGCTCAGCGGGGAGCTTGTGTCTCCCTCTCCCTCTGATGCTCCCCTATGTGTGCTCTCTCACTCTCTCAAATAAATAAAATCTTTTAAAAAATTGTGTGGCGTAGAAATTGGCATCTTCATCTCATGAATGAGGAAGCTAAGACCGAGAGAAGGCATGTGATTTGCCAAAGGTCATACATCATGTGTTAGCTTATTTATCTCATGGCACATTCATTTGTAAATAAAAATGCTGATGAATATGATAGACTTGACCTTGTTTTTCTAGAATGCTTGTTGGTTGGCAATAGGTTGGTTTTTGTTTTATATGAATGAAATCTTTTTTTTTTTTAAAGATTTTATTTATTTATTTGACAGAGAGAGACACAGCGAGAGACAGAACACAAGCAGGGGGAGTGGGAGAGGGAGAAGCAGGCTTCCAGCAGAGCAGGGAGCCTGATGCGGGGCTCGATCCCAGGACCCCGGGATCATGACCTGAGCCAAAGGCAGACGCTTAACGGCTGAGCCACCCAGGCGCCCCGAATGAAATCTTTTTGTTCATCTAAAATTTGATACTCATGTTGAAAGCAATGGTTTCCAAATAGCCATGTTACTGAGGGACAGATACCACCACCATATAGTGACTTTAACTTCATTAACTACTAGATAACATTAAACGAAAGTAATGAGGCCCAGCTTTGGGTCTTTGTAGGGTATGTCAGATAGCAGGATAGTGTCATGATTAAGAGCATGGCTTTGAGTCTGACTTGGATTTCTGAGTTCTAGTAACCTAAGTATTAAATACCGGATATATCTTAGGGTCTCTTTCAAATTAGAAGGGTACCTGCTAAATTTCCATCTGAATCTAGACATTGAGAAAGTTCCCCTATTCTGCTTCCACCTTTTCCTGGAGTCCTCTGGAGTACAGAAGCAGGGGGTTGGGGGGGTGGAAATTTTGGGGCAGCCTCGCATTGATGGCCTCAGTCTGCCGGCTGGCAGGGCAGCTGTGTTCTCTGCCCCGGGCTTCAGTCCCACCACAGACACTGCTCTGCAGCAGTGCACTTGATCTCCCACAGGCAGCCATCCCCATCTCCCACAGTGGGGTCTCCCACAGCAGGGGTTGTGAGAGTCCGTATTTACATGCAGGCTGAGCCTTTCCTTCCTAAACAAAGGAGACTGATCTAAACCTTAATACAAAAGCAGAGGGATGACAGCAGTGCTTGGAATTTCTCAGACAAAACAAAACAAAACAAAACTGATCCCTAAAACTGAACCCTAAAATGTGAAGGACTTACAAACTAATAGGCAGCTCTCCAGAAGTTGGAATGAAAAACGTGATAGGAGGGAGGAGGACATTCTGACTCAAACCCCTGTCAGAAACACCTTGCTCTTAAGTAAAATGTGTATGCCTTCTGTTAACTGAGGAAAGGGGATTGTTAATGTTCCATGCTCGTTGAAATACAATTTTCCAAATGTGTTCGCTCAGTATCACTTTACATGTTGTTTTCATGATAGTTTTTTTTTTTTTCCTTGAAGGTCATGAACAAATAAGCTGCTTAATTGTTTGACTAGGCAGTTCAGCTTTTAGATGCCTGCAGTGACAAAGAAGGAGAATACAAGGAAAAAGGAAATTCTGTCCCAGCTGTGTGCTGGTCAGTGTGTGCCGTTTGTGGGTGGACAGGGCTTCGGGAACACTGGTGTGCCAGGAGGAAGAACTATCAACCAGAGATGTCTGGCACTGACACTTTCTTTTCCACAGAGAAATGGCTCAAGAACCAGATAAACCTCGTATTTAGAAATATTCATTCAAATTGAAGCATCGTAAAAAAAAAAAAAAAAGAAAGAAAGAAATAGAAGCATCGTGTTCTGGTATAAGCTGAAATGGTAATATCAGCCTAAGTATAAAAGGACAGTGTGGTAGAAGGCCCCTCCCTGCCCCGAGCTCACCATTAGGAGTAACAGCCTCATAGGTAGCCACAGTGGAAGAGAAAGGAGCACAAGGATGTGCTGAATGTGTTTCTCTAGGTTACCACTTCCTGTGGGTTCTGCAGCCTGGGCTGAACAAACTAGGGCCGGTGGCAGGTGTGTGTCTGATCTTTTCCTGCCAGTTGGCAACCCAGTTGCATGGTGCATTAATTTTATAAATTGTAGTGAATGAGTAGAGCGACATTTTCAAATGCCTGACTTCACTAGTTCATCTTAAACCCTGTAAATATCTTTTGGTTTCCATTATAGTTTTCCTGGACCTTTGTAGTTTAGTGTAAGCTAGAGTAAATTGTTTTAAAATCATGACCAAAATATATATGGTGAAGATATGAAAAATTGATATATTTGCCTCACCAAACATGGTCTAAATTTTCCATTATATATGTAGCTATACATACTCTTAACCCCATGAAGGTGGGGACCAGGGCTACCTGTTCCTGGAAATATCCTCAGAATTTAGCAATGTTATTTGTTCATTTGACTATTAATTGCCTTTTTAAAAATAGTATCTCCCAACATATCCTTTAAAGGGGCTTTTGTTAGGAGATATTAACAATGTAAATGTTTAGAAATTTGGTTTGCTTTACAGCTTTGCAAGAAATAATTCTTATTTTTATTTTATTTTTTGCCTTTCACTCCATTGTCAGAGATAATTAATAATTAATATGGAAATTATTGTTTTTCAGGCTTGAGCTCTCCCAACATGGCTTTCCTTGTACTCTTCTCTTTGCTGGTTCTGCAAAGTCTGGCTTTAGGGGCCACTTTCCCTGATGAGACCATTGCTGAGTTGTCAGTGAATATGTATAACCATCTTCGAGCCACAGGGGAAGATGAAAATATTCTTTTCTCTCCATTGAGTGTTACCTTTGCTATGGGAATGATGGAACTTGGGGCCCAAGGTTCTACCCTGAAAGAAATCCGTCATTCAATGGGATATGACAGCCTGAAAAATGGTGAGTGTCCTTAGGTTTAATTTTTCAAGGTGGTTTGACTTTAACTTTCAACTCAGTTATGTCATCTTAGGCCACAGGTAGCAATATTCACACAATGTGAGAAAGTGATCTCATTGAGATGGTATGGTTAGGAGAACCATCAGGAAACCCAAGGAAGGTATTAACTCCTTGCTGTATCCTTAGCTGAGTTAATCTAAGGAAATTGTAGATTTTATTATTATTATTTAAATAAAACTCACTGTGACAAATAAAATCAAACCTGGTTCTTACTGAGTTTTCCAGTCTAGAGGGAGAGGCATGTATCAATCAATTATCACATAAATGAATATTTACAACTGTGATAACTGCTATGAAGAAAAGCAACATGATTCTCTAGGAATATTATAAATTTTTGCTTAAAACCAATTGTATCTTCATTTTTTAAGCAGCATCCAAGAATTTTTTTGAAATGTTTTATTATTATGAAAATGTTATGTATTGGGGAAAGTTTTTAGCCAAAAGGTTCTTGTAATCATTTTGACATGATGTATGATTTCTATTTTAATGTTTTTAATATACATGAGAATCGACTCATTAAAAAGTTAAGAACTCGATGATTTCTAAGGCATGTTTCTAGTTATAAGGCAAAAAAGTCCAGTGAAAGTAAAATTTCAAGGAATATTTTGATTTTTAAATTAGGTAATTAAGCTTAATTCTTATTCCTATTAATTATAAAATGAAGACCAATTTAATGAGAATAACCTAAGTACTTTGAAAGGAGACAACCAAAAAAATCTCTATAGATTCTACCAAGACATCAATTAAAACGAAAAATAATACCAGTTCATAATACTCAAAGTTAATTTGAAGATCTAGAAATGGCACAAATATTGGAACCTCCTAGTCATGTCGATATGGGGAATAAACTAGTGCTCTTCCCTTGGGCCCCTGTCTCATCAATCTTCCTTGCTGTTTTTTAGTGCTTTTCCAATCCCCATGATCATTCACTGTGTTTGTTCCACTAATAAACTTATTGTTTGTCATTTTGCAGGTGACGAATTTTCCTTCTTGAAGGATTTTTCTAACATGGTAACTGCTAAAGAGAGCCAGTATGTGATGAAAATTGCCAATTCCCTCTTTGTGCAAAATGGATTTCACGTCAATGAGGAATTTTTGCAAATGCTGAAAAAATACTTCAAAGCAGAAGTAAATCATGTGGACTTCAGTCAAAATATAGCTGTGGCTAACCATATCAATAAGTGGGTGGAGAATAACACAAATAGTATGTCATTTGGTTCCTTTCTTTCTCTAGTGGCTTAGTTTTAACTCTCTTCTACTTCTGAAATTATTTTCTCTTCACTCCAGTTGAATTTTTGAATGTTAGCATTTAGTTGAGTATCTAATAATTATTTTGTATAGATTACAGTCTTTTTAGAGGCATTGCTTATGAATAAACATTTTTGAAAGAACTTAAATCTTTTGGCATGTGAAGAATTTAGGCACTATGATAAATCAGTCTGAAATCTGTCTCTCCAATCATGGTTTTCCTCTGCATGGTAATCTTAACTACTATATGGAATTTTGCTTGAGCTGACTTGTTTAAGAAGTTAGATACCAATTAGGATGGCAGTTGGTGGGCCTCTTAAAAATATACTTAAAATAGAATGTAAGAAAGAGTTAAAAATCAGAGTTGGGCTTTTATTTTTTTTTAAGATTTTATTTATTCATTTGAGAGACAGAGAGAAACAGAGAGAGCACAAGTAGGGGGAGTGGCAGAGGGAAAGCGAGACACAGACTCCCCGCTGAGCGGGGAGCCTGATGTAGGGCTCAATTCCAGGACCTGGAGATCATGATCTGAGCTGAAGGCAGATGCTTAGCCATCTTAACCATCTGAACTACCCAGGCAGGCACCCTCAAAGTTGGGCTTCTAAACAACAGAACTTGATTGGTAATCAAAAAAATTGTATAGGATTTCTTAAAAAAAGAGCAGCCCATTTTAAGCCCAAATAAGTGGAGAATGAGAAAGAGATACATTTATTTTAAAATTTATTTCTAATCTAATTTAAAATTTATTTCTAATCTGAACATTTATTTTAAAACTTATTTCTAAACTTGACTGGCTTGGTTGGTGGAGCATGTGATGCTTGATCTCGGGGTAATGAGTTTGAGCCCCACATTGGGTGTAAAAAAATAAAAAAATAAAATCTTTAAAAAATAAATAAAATTTGTTTCTAATCTAGTCTTTAAAAATGTATTTAAGCTTTCCAAATGTTTCATATTTTACCATTTTATTTTCTAACTTTACCATCAAAATATTGAAATTAGAATTTAAAAAATGAAGCCAAATTGAAAGTAGATTGCAGATGTTCATTAAATTAATTCATATTGTCAAAACTCCTCAAATAATGTCAATCTAATATATTTTATTTTGGAACAATAACAAAAAAACCTGACCACATACCCTATGTCCTATAATCCCAAAAATTCCGAGGCACCTTTGTAAGCACCTAAAGAAGTGCTATCATTAATAAAATGAGAGAATACAAATTTTGGTCCTATCTTTTTCAACTATGACATTAAAACGTAGGATAAAATAAACTTATGTCTGTATTTTAACATTCAAAGAATAAGTCAAGAATAATAATCCACTTTGAATAGATTGAATGATTACAAGCTATTTCAAAAATCTTTTTACACATTTTTAGCTATCAACAAAGAGCCAGTATCTTTGACAATAGATTTGTAAAGGAATATTTCAAATGATCAATAATAAGGCATCACTAGTTCAATTGGCTTTCACTCGTCTGTTTTCACCTAGTCGAATGCAGTTGTTATATTTAGTGGAAAGATATCCAATATATATGGGGGAAATTTTTGAACTGGCTGACATTTTAATCATGTACATTGTTCAAGAATAAACTCAGTAATCATTATTGAATGCTTACTCTGTGTTAAGAGATGTGCATACATCATTACAACTAGAAAGTAGTAAAGCCTGAGATTCTGTTGTACTTGGTTCTATAGTTTCTGCAAGTGTCAAGATCCTACCAGTGTTATTACAGGTAGGTGTGTTTTAGATCCCCTTAATCTGTAAGTGTGTGTGTGTGTGTGTAACATTTTTCCTTTGAAAGCAAGATACTTTTAATTTTTATTGTAAATTTGGTAGTGGTATACAGTTTTTCTGGATTACTGTATTAGATGGTAGTTTGATAATCTTTTGGTCCCCATTCACCTTCAAATTTAATATAAATTTTCATCTATTCATTTTTTCCTGAATAGGTCTGTTGAAGGATTTGGTATCCCCGAGGGATTTTGATGCGGGCACTCATTTGGCCCTCATCAATGCTATCTATTTCAAGGGGAACTGGAAGTCACAATTTAGACCTGAAAATACTAGGACCTTTTCCTTCACTAAAGATGATGAAAGTGAAGTCCAAGTTCCAATGATGTATCAACAAGGGGAATTTTATTATGGTAAGACATTCTGGCTTTTATTTCTCTCTTCTTACAGTATAATAAATTTTTAAGAAAGAACATGAAGCATTTATTACTCAAATATCTTGTCAATCTTGTTTGGGCTACAATTCAGTTTCCCTGGCTCCATTTTCAAAGGCCTCTAATTAGACCTTAAGTGAATATTATATGCATTGACAGTTTTCTAATATACTTCTTTAAATTATAAAGTTGATTACACCTGCAGAATGGCTTTATTCATGGGTAAACACCTGACCTTGTATAAGAACATTCTGAGTTACTCCAAAAAGCTATTGGCTTTGGGGTGGTTGTCAGTGACCCATATGTTCCACTTTGCTCTTGCTTGGATTCCTTACCACTTTTTGAATTACAAGCATTTCTTTAAAATTTTGCTTTCAGGGATGCCTGGGTGGCTCAGTCAGTTAAGTGTCTGCCTTCAGCTCAGGTCATGATCCCAGGGTCCTGGGACTGAGTCCCGCATTGGGCTCCTTGCTCAGCTGGGAGCCTGCTTCTCCCTCTGCCTGTAGCTCCCTCTGCTTGTGCTCTCTCTCCCTCTCTCTCTGTCTCTCTCTATCTCAAATAAATAAAATCTTTAAAAATAAATAAATAAAATTTTGCTTTCAGACTGTGTATGTATGGTTAGACATAATCATTCATAGTTTTGTTTATTGAAAGTCTATGACTTGTGATACAACTCAATATCCTTGGCATTATTTTCAAAGATATTTCATTGGACTTTTCAGAAGTTTAGAGTGTTAATCCTTCTTACACACTACAATGGACTGTATTCTTACACGCTATATTTGAGAACCAAAATGTTTAATGGTCTAAAGGACCTAAATCAGTTATAGGAAAATACTCATAACAAAAGCATTACATTTTCTTTTTGAAAATGGCGTAATTTTGAGGTAGCAGCAGGATCTCTTTTTTTTAAAGACTTCTTTATTTTTTTTATGGAAGGCTGGTGAATTTAGCTAAATTATTAGAACAGAAAGCCCATTACCTTACTAACCTCATTATTTAATTTGGAGGTCTTAAGCAACACAGTTACTGTGGATAACTACTGTAGAATGTAATAGATTTCATTTTGACTATGCTATCTTGGCCTCAAAACTTTTAGCTGTGGTAATGATAAAGTCCCAGGTATTACATAGTCAATTTCCCCCTTCTTAGAAATCAGGTGGGTATTGGCAAATATGAATTACAACTACTTGGATCTAGGGCTTTATTTTTCTAACCAGGACTTACCATCGTTTCTAAAGATGTTCTTTAACTATATATTCATTTGAAGTATCTCATTTAAAAATAAAAAGTAAGTCTGTAGAACATATTATAACAATTGTGATATAATTATGGGGATTCTAAAATAAAATAAATTCTTTAGGACTGAAGATTCACTTGATTTCAGGACCTTTTAAAAAAAAACAAAAAAAAACACCTTTTTTCTCAGATGCCTGAATTTCTTATATTCTATATACTATTTTGGAAGAGAGTTATAACAAATTAAACCTTTTATTTGAGCTTGAATATGGGCCTTTTATCACCTTTCTTTTTGTTTTAGGAGAATTTAGTGATGGCTCCAATGAAGCTGGTGGTATCTACCAAGTCCTAGAAATACCCTATGAGGGAGAGGAGATAAGCATGATGCTGGCATTGTCCAGACAGGAAGTTCCACTGGCCACTCTGGAGCCATTGGTCAAAGCACAGCTGATTGAAGAATGGGCAAACTCTGTGAAGAAACAAAAAGTGGAAGTGTACCTGCCCAGGTAAGAGGCTCCTGTGGGACTCCTTCTGATAGCACGGAGGGAGAGATTTCAATGTAGGTTCCGACTCAGGAAAACTCTGGCCACTGCCTTTGAATTTTAAGTCTTAGCTCCTCTCTTCCCCCTACTCCCCTTCCTGTTTCCTCCCCTTCCCTCCTCTCCTTCTCTCCCTTCTCCTTTTTTAAAGTAGTCTTTTGTACTCATGACGTCCTGCCCAGAGATACAAGCTCACTTATCGATTCACTCAGTACTATTTACCAAGACTTAGTTTCAGATCCTACTCAATATTCTTAGCTTCATTTTAGAAGATTTCTCAATAGATCATCTCTGAATATCATTTGCTTTGGCAGTCTTCTGTATTTCATTAATATTTAAAGTTGATTATAGCTGGAGAGAAAATAATCTCCCACATTGTTGGAAGAAGCACAAACAAGTTACTGTGCTCGGTGCCAAGATGCAACCATAAATAAGCAGGAAAAAGCTTATAATTCTCCCTGTGGATTAAATAATAAAATCTATGCAGGGCCTTGATGCTCTTCTCAACCCTGTGTCTGGCCACTCACCACAACAAACACTTTGTAGCATGTTCTATCCATGTGCTTGTTGCTATGCTACATACAAGTCGCATGGTTTTGCCTGCCTCTGGGTCTCTATGCATGTTTTTGCCTTGGCCTAAAATACTCTTCTCATGTTTCTTTGCCTGATATTGATATTGTGTACTTCTCTGTATATTTTTAAAGAAATTCTTTTTGATAAAATGAGAAATTCAGTACAGTGTTAATGCTTCCCTTATTAAATTCCATAAATTAAGTGCAGCATGTCCAAATGCTTCAATTCTGTGAGGATGCAAAGTTATTTAGGGGTATTTTAACAGAATCCTAAATGAATGCTTAATAAGTATCACATATTCTAATTCAACCATATTCACTAAAAATGTGGCCTCCAGGTCCTGTCCACTGAGAAATTGAATGTGGCAGCAGAAGAAAATTAAATTTTCATTTTCTAAGAGATCCTCTTCAATTATGAAATAGTTTAGCTTGCTTGCTCATATTAATGCCTGATACTAAACTAGGCACAGTTAATTACCATGTATCCATTTCTCCAGAAGTTCTATGAACTCTCCTTCTGCCTGGTTAATGCATAGAGAGCAAGGCTAAATAGCTAGATACCACAAATCTGGTTTCCCTTTTTAAGAAATTGACTGTTTTCAAATACTTATGTGTAGGTAATGATCAATAGGAAATGATCTACCCCTTCCATTTTACAGTATTAGGATCCCCTAAATGTCCAATGACGGTAATGATGTTTGTGACCTCATTTTAGCAAGGGTAAAAATGTTTTAATAGCCATTTCCTAGGTTTACTCAAGTGTCTGTCTTAAAATGTTTGTATAGATTTATTCGCATGGAGATATTACTCTGAAACAGCAACTTTGCATTTCTGTAATTTGACCACATTCTTGTCCTGCTCCACAGGTACTTTTACTTTCTATTATATTAGATTTTATGCATATAGGTTTTATTTTATTTATTTTTTTTAAAGATTTTTTATTTATTTATTTGAGACAGAGAGAATGAGAGAGACAGAGAGCACATGAGACGGGGGAGGGTCAGAGGGAGAAGCAGGCTCCCCGCCGAGCAGGGAGCCCGATGCGGGACTCTATCCAGGGACTCCAGGATCATGACCTGAGCCGAAGGCAGTCGCTTAACCAACTGAGCCACCCAGGCGCCCTGCATATAGGTTTTAAATGCCTTTCTTAAAAGGTATAGGGTATGTTGAGGGGGGGAGAAGGGACAACTACTTTTGCATTTTTATTAGTTTTCCCCCTGAACAATAAGTCCTACAGGAATCAGATGCTGAATTGAAATTGTATTTTTATCGAAAATACAAAACGCTATTCAGGAGAGGGTAAAATTGCTATACCTATGTGATACCATAAATCCAGTGAAATACTAAAAGGTTAATGCACAGTCATACATTTCTAAGATTTAAATGAGATTACCAGATATTCTTCCAATTTATTCATGGTAGCAAAAACAGTTTGGCAATATAGATAAAAAAATATATGTAAGATATCTAAAAAGCACTTTAGAATAATGCCTAGCACAGAGTAAGCATCATATAGTTATTACCTATTATCACTATTATTATTTATTTTCAGTGTACATTTTAAGTCCTAGTATTCACCTTATGTTAATCTATGGGTAGCTTTTTTTTTTTTTTTTAAGGTTTTATTTATTTATTTGACAGAAAGATAGTGAGAGCAGGAACACAAGCAGGGGGAGTGGGAGAGGGAGAAGCAGGCTTCCTGCCGAGCAGGGAGCCCTATGTGGGACTCGATCCCAGGACCCTGGGATCATGACCTGAGCCGAAGGCAGACGCTTAACAACTGAGCCACCCAGGCGCCCCCTATGGGTAGCTTTATATATACTTTTCTTCCAGTAAGATTTTTTAAAAACCTCGTTCTAATGAACATTACCCTCTTCATTGTATAAGGTGCAAGAAGATTGTTTTAAAATGAAAATCAAATATCTTAATACTTGGAATGCAGAGGTACCTGGCTGCCGTATCTTTCCACTCTGACTTTTGTAGTCTCAGATTTGTCATTTGTGATCAGAGTGCTGGAAATCAACAGATAGAGAGTGGTTTTCTATTTTGTAAGCAGAGACCATCCTGTTATTTTGAAATGATTGTCTTAGAAATAAAGCACTTTAGTTTCATGTTTATAAAAGAAAACTAATACATACGCCATCTGATTTTGTTCTTTAACATGAGTGCTTTTTATTAGGTTTTTCTACAGAAGGTGTCTTGATTAGTTTCTTAATTGCTTACAAGGTGAATAAATCTCCTTATATGTAAAATATATTTATACTTTCCTAACACTTGCTCTCCACACCTGAGTTTCTCATGCTTCTGCCCTCAACATACCTCTTCAACTTACTCAGAAAGTTGCAAATGCATGATTACATTGTTAAAATAGGCTTGCCTTTTGGGTTTAAAAAAGCAGTGTTGTGGCTTTTTATTTTTAAATTCAGTGGGCAAAATGTAAAATCTACCTATAGTTTGATTGTTTTTAAATAGCCGTTGTTAGAATTGTAGTTATTAGTGGTGGGGCACTTTGCGGTCAGACAGACCTCAGCTCATATCCTCATTCTACCACTCACTAGCTGTGTGACTAGGGCAAGTTGTTTAGCTTGTCTGAACTTCAGTTTGTTCTTCTGTAGAATAGAGATAACCATACATAATCTCACAGGACTCTGTGACATTATCATAGGGATGATTAAATGAGATACCATATGTAAAAGGATTTGCATAGTGTCTGGGATATAGTGAGCCCTCAGGTATGGGAGATGATAATGATTATTTATATGCATATTAGTCTATATTAAGAGGAAAGAGTAAATGGATAATAGCTATTTCCCGTAATTTGATAAGGAAACAAAGACGGGAAATGGATAAGTGGAAATTGTTCACATCCTATCTTCAACTTTGAACAAACACTCTCTTTTTTTTTTTTTTTTTGGTCACCTAGATTTTTTCCCTTCAACCTATGTGTATTGTCCTATGCCAGATACTACAGATATTGAAATAAAAAAAGATACTGTATTTGACTAATTTACAGCTAAAGCAGCAGAGATGAAACAGCTATTTAATCAAATTACTCCACCACTACTAAAATGCAAATATAAAACACCTTAACATCTATAATAACGTGAATGTTATACATAACTGCAATATTGTGAGTGTTATCAATACAATCTGCCCTTTATTACATGCCTCCTACATAGTGGCACCATCCTAAGACTTCTAGGAACCTTTGGGGCCCCTGGATGGCTCAGTTGATGGAGCTTGCAACTCTTGATCTCATGGCTGTGAGTTTGAGCCCCATGTTGGAGGTAGAGATCACTTAAAAATAATTTTTTTTTTTTTTAAAGACTTCTAGGGGGGTGCCTGGGTGGCTCGGTGGGTTAAGCGTCTGCCTTCTGCTCAGGTCATGATCCCAGGGTCCTGGGATCAAGCCCCACATCGGGCTCTCTGCTCAGCAGGGAGCCTGTTTCCAGCCTGTTCCTCCCTTTCCTGTCACTCTCTCTCTCTCTCTCTGTCAAATAAATAATTAAAATCTTAAAAAAAAAAAGACTTCTAGAAACCTTATTTAATCCCCTCAACAATACCATGAGGCAGGTATTATTAATATCATGTTCTACATGCCAAATCCGGAACTTGCCCAAATTCAATCTGGCTAAATTACCATCCTCACCTGAAACAGCAAACCTCAGAAGTGTGAAACAAACCAGGTTGCTCCTAAGAAATACAAAGAATCCTCTACTGATCTCTCCCTTCACTTTCCTATTTTAGGTGGATCAGGACATACAGAATACGACCTGGATCCATGCCCCTGCTCTGCCATTTATTAGCCACATGACCTTGGTCAAGTTATCTCATCTTTCTCTTCCTTGGTTTCTTCTTCTCTTAACTGAGGATAATAATAATACTGACCTCCAAGGATTTTAGGGATATTTAAATTAATCTGTTATAGTCTTAGAATAGTTTTTGGTAGGTCAGTCAATCAATCAATCAATCAATAATAAATGTAAAGCACACACACAAAACACCTTAATCAAGCCATTGAATGTATTCTTTGAGACATCCCATACCTCCCTACTCATCCCCCTTTTCTACTTCCACAACCGACATCTGCTTTTTGTAGAAAACAAAAGAGACTGTGCTAAGTCCAAGTAAAAGTGTAGGATACAGATAAAATTCAGGACTTGGTTTAATATGTTTGCTATACATTTATTTCTCTATTTGTCATATTTTCCATAAACATGAACCTGCTAAAACTATTTTCCCCTGACTATTCCTCTTGATGTCTGAGTCTTGTTTATAGCAACCATTCCCTTGTTGTTCTTAAAACCAGACATCAGAAATGATGCTAATGGAATGTTTTGTGACTGTCACAAACTTAGCTTTTTTTAAGGATATAGCCCATTGCCTAAAAACTTACATTTATGATCTTTATTGATCAAGAAGCAACATCTTAGAAAAAAAAGGAAACATTTACTTCTAGTTGTTCTCACTTTTTATAAAAAAGTAATAATCTTTGCTTTAAAAAAACTGCATTTGTGTGTTAATGCAGCCATGTTTACTCCGTATTTTTCACTAGAAAGATGGGAGATACAATTCACTGGTTTGGGAAAGACTATATTAGGACCAATGAGGCTCTCTGTGGAAACCATTTTTTTTTAATTAATATTCTGCTCATGACCACTGTACTTATTTTCATTTCAGTTTTAAGTAATGTTTTATTTCTTCTTGCAAATGTGATGCACATTTATGTATAATTCATAAAGCCCATTAGAACAAAAAATACAAATTTGTTATTCTTTTGCTTAAAAAAATCTCTAATATAATTGTAAAAGTGTACAGTTTTTAAGATGTAATCCTTAATTCACTTTTGTTGATGAACATCTTTTCTGTGATGGTACCAAGGAAACAGGCTTTGGTCCTGGAGGTTAAAATAACCAGGAAGATATATATTATTAACACAATAGCTTTTATGTTTCCTTTCTCTGAGTGTATGGAGTTGAAATGTAAGATGTATCCATTATACAGCAATTGGATACAGCATTGGCTCTCCCTTTCCACAGGGAGCTGAGTAAGGACACTAAGAAAAGAATGAAATGCCTTGGATAAATGTTTGATAAGACATTGACAGCTTAAAAAATCAAATCTATTACCAGGTCACATGATTCTGAAGGCAACCCATTTACAGGTTTGACATCCTTGACCTCAAAACACTTATTTCACCCTATATATTACAGTTTTGCGTCCACATCAAATAGTGTTCCTACTTAATAATTTAATATTATTCTGATACATTATTCTTTTTGCTGTCTCCTCTTTTTATAAGCACAATCGAATACCACTTGCAGTCAAAAGCCAGTTTTAGTATAATTTACCATTAAAATCAACATAGCCAACATTTTATTCTTGTCCCAGGTAACAGGATGCTGTAACTAAAAACTTTTAAAATGCCGTAACTAAATGCTTTTCCCCCTCTGTGTTCTCCAGGTTCACAGTGGAACAGGAAATTGACTTAAAAGATGTTTTGAAGGCTCTTGGAATAACTGAAGTTTTCATCAAAAATGCAAATTTGACAGCTTTGTCTGGTAGGAAATAAACATCGATTTTTAAAAAATGTTATTATTTCATGAAAGATTTTAAAAATGACGATGTTCTCAAGCACCTTAAAGATTTAAGGGTTGAAATTGTGCGGCGGGAGGTGGGGGGGGGGATGTAGAGGCCGCTTTCAGGCAACAGGCTTGACCAATAAAAACTTGATCAAGGCAAAAGGGCCCACAGTGACCACCTGGCTGAATGTAGACAGGCACATCAGGTGGCCCACCTCAAAGTATTCATAGGCCCTACCTAACCAATGGGCTACTTGCAACCAGGCACAGTTACCAAAAAAGGGAAAATTCCATACGTCGTCATACCTCCTCCCCTTCCTCCTTCAGAAGCAGCCCCTGCCCACTGCCTCCTGGCAAGCAGCCTCCCCTCTGCTGTCCTTCCTGCTGCCCCCTTATGGAACAGTCACTAAACTTCTAGCTCCTTTTAAGAAAATAAATAAATTTAAAAAAAAAAGTGATGATGTCGAACCCTCTATCTGCTATGGAGTTCTGAGGTAAAATAAAGTTATCATTTGCCAGATAAATATAACAAATAGATTTACCTTCTATACACAAAGCTATAAATAACAGTGAGAACAGCAAGTTTATATTATTCTGGTCCATGTCTTATCTTCAATAGTAGATACTCTCCAGAAGACCTGTCTTACACAGCTTTAGATTCCCCATCCTATCTGACACAATGCCTTGTAGATAATCAATAAACATGTTGATTTAATACCTCAATATGTCCAGTTACAGTAAATTATATGGGAAAGAAAGAAGGAAGAGAGGATAAATGCATGCCTGTTGTGAGAACCACTTTTTAAAGGAATATCTAGTGAGATGATATAAAGATTATCTCAAGTCTTCAATAAGAAAAGAGCGGTTTTGAAGAAATAACTTCAAAATATACCTGGCATATTGGGTGTTGAGTAATTTATTTTTAAAATCCTGGAGCGGGGGACCTAGTTGAATTATTGGATTCAGATGCCCTAATTTGTTCAGGGTAAAAATCATTAACATATTAGCAACATTAAGTACTTAGAACATGTAAAATCCTTCTGGAAATATTTTAAGCATCTAACCCCAAGACATTTAAGGTACCTGTGAGTTTAAGACTTAGCTTATATAATGATGTTCTATCATTTCTATAGAATATGGAAAATATAAGAATCTATTTTCTGATGGGATCAAGATAAAAAAGAACTCAGTGTTTAAGTCCTCTATATATGCAATTTATTGGACCCAACTCTCCAACCAGAGAGAGCTGAGGCATAGAAGTTTCTTTAGCAGTTCAAATGCTATGGGAGGGAATTTAGTTTTTCTCTCCTGAAGTAAGAGCCTATAGAAAATCAAGCCGACTGAATAATAGCTTCTAAACCTGGAATATGAGGACCCATGGATTGAGTTCAGTGAAGTGGGTGCTCTACCCCGGAAATTGCATATAGGGGTGCACTCAAGTACGTGTGTGTGTGTGTGCACGCCTTTGCATGCACACACACACACACGAAAGAAAAAAAGAGAGTGGAGATAGGTTCATAGCTTTCAGGAAATTCTCAAGGAGTTTATAATCAAAAAATGCCTTGCACTCCCAGATTTAGAATTGGACAGCTTGTTTTCCAAGCAGAACTCAGCAATGAGATGATGTTCATGTATTTGATACCACAACTTTTACCCCTTAATTAGAGAACTGACATCTCAAAACACTAGTAGAATTTTTCTGTCTACTACATAAATGTTCCTGTCCACTAGAGAAATGCAAATTTTGCCCTAGTAAAGGTTTTCAGGGCTCACATCCAAGCTCCTACGGCTCTGAACTTTTCAGTGGGGTTGTCAAGGAGGTAGGACTGGTGGATATTCAAAAGCTAATGGGTACTTTTGTGCTTGAGTCAGAAATATATTCATGGCTCAAGCATAGTGTAATTTAAAGTTCTTATGTTCCCTTCCTCAGGAATTGAGAGAATCTGTCTACCATACTGGCCAAATTCCACTTTCTTACTGTGGCTCTATTTTCTGTTTTATTAGAGATTCCTCACTGTCTCACCCAAACATCTAGGCAGTTATTTCCCCTGCATAGAGTATCTGCAGCTTCTCAGTCCTGAGGGAGTCATGCCGCGGTGGTAAATCAATTATTGTGGTCAGTGTAGCTTAAAATTTTTGACATATGTGGGAGGTTTATGACGTAATATTTAATTGCCTTTAGTATGTCCAGAGACAATAGAGAATAAATATGTATTATGAATGCAGATGGTTTGGAAATTTGAAATACCACTCGGATCTTTCAGAGTTCACATAGTCCATGTGTGAAGGCTCTGTTTGTTCGACCAGACCTCAGTCAGAATTGAATCCTTCTCAGAGTGGTTACAGCTGCATTCCTAGGGCCTGGCACCTGGCTGACACCTAGTCGGAACACAGTCAATGTCCACTGAGGGAGCAAAACGAGGGAGGGAAGGAGACAAGAGATTTCTTCATAGCCACCTTCTACGTTACATTTCTTGAAACATCGAACTCCTTAAAACATCAGTAAGAAATCCAGGATTGGCCATCCTCAACCACCACCCAATTCAAGTCTTCAGGATAACTTGATGAAAGGTCTAAAGTCAGCTTCTCAAGCTTTCAGTGGGAACTCTTTCATTCTTAACTCCCTAGTTTTGCCAAGACCTTGGTAGTCTTGGCATGTCAGCCCACCCCAAACAATACTTCCTTTTTCTCCCTCTCCCTCCCTCCCTCCCTCCCTCTCTCTCTCCCCCTTGCTCTCTCAGTTGCTCTCTCTCTCTCTCTCTCTCTCTCACACACACACACGCACATACACATTAATTTATGAATCATTCATTCAAAAACCAGTGACACAACAATAAAACTTGCCTCTCTGCTTTCGCTAGATTTGAAAGTATTTATTCCCTGCATCGTTCATTTGGGCACCGTATGCTCTGCCCCACATGGTTGGTGTCCTTTTCACATGTCTAGGTTTTTGCCTCTCCAAATGATGTGAAAACCCCACTGATTAAAGTGTCTGTGATGCTTAATAACCCCTACAAGTACCCAGGAAAATTATTAGCATGTATTTGATTATTACTTTCTACCTTAATGAATTTCATGGGGATAATTTCATGGTGTCTCAGATATACATTAATTACATTCAATGCCCTGTCTCTTCCTTTCATTTAATAACTCTTCGTGAGTCAGTTGGTGTGAGCACAGGACTAGGTCATAAAAATGAAGAAATGACTAAGATATCATACCTGCTCTAAAGAAGGATACAGACTTGGGGGGAGAAAGACATAAACAGTTGGATTTAATAAAAAGAAGCAGGATAGAAATGTTTTATTGGAGCAGTGTGTTCAGGACATACCAGGACAATTGTGTTCTCCAGGGAACATTTGGCAATAGTTGGAGACCTTTTGGGTTGTCACAACTGCAGAGAGCTCCTGGCACCTATCTGGTAAAGGCTGGGGATGCTTCTACATTCCTGTGACCTACACTGCACAGGACACACCCCACAACAAAGAATAATCCAGCCCCAAATGTCAATAGTGATGAACCAAGAAACCCCATACTAGAGAAAGCATTGTGGAGGCAGAGAGGGAAAAGAAAGTCAACGGGCAGAATGGGAGCGTATTGGTTCAAAGGATGGAGGGGGAGAATATAGGTATGCATTTAAGCTTTCAAATGCATTGAACATTTTTGAATAATGTCTTAGAAAATGATAGCAATGGTTGCCTCTAGAATACAGAACAGAGGCCCCTAGATGAGAGCGGAGATTTTGTTTCGTCTATCACTGTGCACTGTTTGGGATTTTGCCTTGTGCACGTATTACTTCTTCAATTAAAACTCTTAGTTGAAAACTGGGAAAAATTTTTAAAAATCGCATAGTAGAATTCGTAAATTCAAAAGCACCCAGGAAACAATTCAGTACTAAATCCTTTAGCACAAAGTACGAATTTATCATTCTTAAATTATGCAATGAAATTTTATCTTTCTTTAAAAATAGCAAATATGAGTTAGCAGTGGAAAAACAACCCTGCTCCACATTTTCTTGCTTCTGGAAAAATTGAGTGACTTGAGAGTCCTTTGCTAAGACCTCTTGAATCCACTCTTTCATTCTCTATCCCATGGCATCCACCTTTATTTCAGACTCTCACTACTGCTGCCCCAGACGATTTCAACAGCCTCCTAAACGGTTTCCAATCTCTTTTCTGTCTAATCTGGCTTCGCTACCACTGCCAAGATTAATCACCTTAAAACCTGCTCTCAGATCATCCCAGTTCCCGTTCAAAGCCTCCCTTCATTCTGCTGTGTGCACTGTTTGCTACTCCACAGGGCGTTCAGACCTCAGCTCACTCCAGCCTTAACTCTGGCTGATTCCTCGCACACAGCTTTTGCTGCACCTCACGTCTCCCCAGGGCCCCGGCTTTATAAAATCTCTCCCACCCGAAATATCTCCTGAATGGATCTGCAGCACAAATATCCCCAGCTTCATCAAGCCACAGGATTACACCAACCAGAAGTAATAACTCCTTCGTAAATTCTACAGCATTCTGTACTTTTTCTTATGCTGCATATCACATCTGACCTCATATTATCATTATTTATGCATCGGATATCTTCTGCCAAGATTGATCCTTATGTGTGTTCAGGAAGCACACGGTTCTGTGCTTTCTGCCTAGTACTCACTGAATGAAATGAATGAGATGCTCTGTATTTATTGTGCTTATTTTTGGTCATCTCAATTTGATGTCCATGGCTTTTTACACTAAATTCCATTAACATAAAACACAGCAAAGACTTATACAATAAACATGGAATCTAGAGAGTGCTGAGAATCATTTTCTTCTCAGGCTCGATTTAAAATGCTCATCTAGTTGCAGCGAGGATCCTGTTATAGAGTAGGGCTATTTTTGTAATGGAAATGAATGACTGTCAGCATTTGGATTAATAGATAATCCTCTTGGAAGGTGGAAGGGGAAGGAGAAAGAGAGTACTAAATCCTTTAGCACAAA